AGCTCAAGGTGAGCGCTCTATCACTTGAGCCACACTCCACTTGCAGTTTTCTGGTGGTTAATTGGAGATAAGAGTCTCAGGGAGGGCTGGGAAGGTGGCTCAGGGAAGGCTGGGAAGGTGGCTCAGTGGTAGAGTGCTTGCCTTGCATGCATGAAGCCCTGGGTTCGATTACTCAGCACCACATACGCAGAAAAAGCTGGAAGTGGTGCTGAGGCTCAAGTGGTAGGGCGCTAGCCTTGAGCTGAAGAGCTGAGAGACAGTGCCCAGACCCAGAGTTCAGGCCCCACGACTAGCAAAAAAAAAAAAAAAAGAGTCTCAGAGACTTTCCTGCTGGGGCTGGCTTTGAACTATGATCCTCAGATCTCAACCCCAAGTAGCTAAGATTATAGGTATGAGCCACCAGCACCCAGCTGTGATTCCCTTTTAATCCCCAGTTCCCACTTTCATTCTCTTGTACCCAAACAGTCTAATGTGATCCAGTATTCTTACAGTGTGTGTTTTATATCCCTTTTTTTTTCTGGTCCTGGGTCTTGAATTCTCGGCCTTCGCCCTCCGCAGTCCCTCAGCTCTTCAGCTCCAGGCTAGCACTCTACCACCTGAGCCACAGCACCACTTCCAGTTTTCTGGTTTATTGGAGATAGGGTCTCATGGACTTTCTTGCCTGGGCTGGCTTTGAACATTGATCCTCAGATCTCAGCCTCCTGAGTAGCGAGAATTACAAGTGTGAGCCACCGGCACCTGGCTTGTTTTTGTTTGTTTGTTTTTAACTTACACAGATTGTGCTGCAGATATCTCTTGTTTTGCTTTTTTCAGAGCCATAGTTTTAAGAGCTATCTACCATGGTATGTATCCACCACATTCTTATTTTTCCATTTGCCCTTTCTGTGTTCTATTGAGAACGACTAGAGATTGGCCTGCACACAGTTTCCTACCCATCCTTTTCCTGCTGATACTAAATTTACTCCAATCATGCAAGAGAAAGAAGTCCCTCTGGGCTGTGTTCTCAGTCCCAAGAAAGCCTTCTATTCTTTTGTATAAAATTGAGTTGCTTTCTCCTTGGAGTGGCTTTGTTTTACTTGTGAGAGAGATTATGTGGTGTGTATTTGCAGCAGGTTCCTAGTCCTATTCCAGCCAAGGGAATAATCTGCCTATCTGAGCCCTAGCTTCTATTCATGGGGGATAGTATTTGTTTGAACATTAATTATGTACTCTACCAGCCTCCTAGTTTTAAGTCCTGTCTTCTGCCAGACTTTTTTTTTTTTTTTTTGTCAGTCATGGGACCTGAACTCTGGGCCTGAGCACTGGCCCTCAGCTCTTCAGCTCAAGGCTAGTGCTCTACCACTTGAGCCACAGCTCGACTTCCAGCTTTTTCTGCTTATGTGGTACTGAGGAATTGAACCCAGGGCCTCATGCATGCAAGGCAAGCACTCTACCACTGAGCCACCTTCCCAGCTTCATTGCCAGTCTTTTAAGAGGGTAGAGTGCTGGGCGCTCATGCCTTAATCCTAGATACTCAGGAGGCTGAGATCTGAGAATCAGGGTTCAAAGCTAGCCCGGCAGCAAAGTCCGTGAGACTCTTATCTCTTATAAACCATCAGAAAAAAAACAAACCTGGAAATGGTGCTGTGGCTTAAGTGGTAGAGCACTAGCCTTGAGCTGAAGAGCTGAGGGACAGTGCCCAGGCCCAGAGTTCAAACCCCATGACTGACCCCCCCCCCAAAAAAAGAGGGCAGGATATTTTCTTCTTTTAAATGAGTATGTTAACACACATTTAAAAAGGAATAATTTTTAAAGTAATTGTTTCTTTGTTCCCAGACATAGATACTATCTTAATGTTCTCAGGTTTGGAAAGAAATGTAGAGATCAAAAGTCTGAATATCCCGGGCACCAGTGGCACATGCCTGTAATCTTAGCTACTCAGGAGGCTAAGATCTGAGGATTGCAGTCCAAAGCCAGCCCAGGCAGGAAAGTCCGTGAGACTTTCCAATTAACCACCAGAAAACTGGAAGTGGCACTGTGACTCAAGTGGTAGAGCACTCGCCTTAAGCTGAAGAGCTGAGGAACAGCGTCCAGGCCCAGAGTTCAAGACCCATGACTGACAACAAAAAAAAAGTCTGAATATACACTGATATTTTTCGTAATAGACAGTTTTGTCGTGGATACAATTGGATCAGTTAAGCAGGCATGAGAGGCTAAGTTGGATTGGTTAAGCTTGGATTTTGGTATCCTAGTGACCTTGTTTGAAATCCTGGTTCTTTTAACTAGCCAAAGAGCCTTGGATATTATATGTTTTCTATAATAATACCTCTTTAGACAGTTGTTATAAGGTCTAGACAGGGAAAGGTTGTAAAGTACTAGTACCTGGTTTGCTGCTCAGAAAAAGATGGTTGCCATAATCATCATCATTAGCCTCATCATCATTGCCATGTCCCTAAAGCCCTCTACCACTGAGCCACCTTCCCAGCCAAGCCTAGAATTTGAGATAAAAGCAAACTTTTAGAAATTGGTAACGCAGCAGCCTTGTTAAGGGATGGACTTTAAAGACCCCAAGGAGGATCCAGAAGTGTACCCTAGAATGAAATCAAAGCACATTGAGAGTAGGGTTAGAGGGATCAGAATGCATCTAATGTGTCCATGCTTCAGATAAAACATTTTCAGATGTAGGACTAGAAAGGAAACGAGTGAGGTAATGCTCTCGGTGGTGGATGCTCACATCCAAGGGCACATCTGTCCCCGGTAGAAACCCTTTCCCATTGCCTTTGTTCTCTGCCTTGCTCACCCATCAGAGAGCACTGTCCTCTCCATAATTGTGCCAGATGGACGGGGTGGGAACCCCTGGAATCAGTTGACCCCACTCCCATTTCCTATCACCCAGCACTGTGCCAGGCTTTCTGCTGAATTCTTCATAAGAGTGAGTAACGTGCGGTCTTTGTCTCCAAAGAATTCAAAGACTTAAAGGGGGACATATTTAAACCACCTGATTTTTAATAAGTGCTCTGCCAGAGGTGGGCCCAGGGGACAGTAAGAACATGAAGGACGAACATTGGATTGAGGCCTGAGCTGTTAAGAGTTAGTAGGGAGTGTACTAGGGACACATTTTCATTGTCTCTAGATAATACAGAAGTTTTGTTCTTTTGTCTTGTCTTGTTTTGTTTTTTTAGTTCCAGTTGTGGGCCTGAACTCTGGGCCTGGACGCTGTCCCTCAGCTCTTCAGCTCAAGGCTAGCACTCTACCACTTGAGCCACAGCGCCACTTCTGCCTTTTTTTCTACTTATGTGGTGCTGAGGAATTAAACCCAGGGCCTCATGCATGCAAGGCAAGCGCTCTACCACTGAGCCACCTTCCCAGCCCCAAGTTTTGTTCTTTTGGTATAAACCTTCTCTTCCAAAAGCAAAAAGAAAATTTAAACCTTTTCTTTGATCTTAATTAGGAACTAGTTATGGTTGTTACCTTACCCCTTGGAGTGAAGTGATCTAAACAGTAGCCATTTCCTTTTAGTAACAGAGTATTACAAATTAGGTTTCCCCTAGTAGTCATTAACATTCCCAGCATCCCATCTTCCAGAATAATGGAGTGGACATAATAATGTAATCAACTTGGTTAATAAATTGATATTACTTTTCTCTGAGGAGAAGATTCTCATTATCTGAAATAGAAAGGGTCTCAAGAAAGCCTTGGAGTCACAGCTAGAAGACTCCACGGGTTAGTAGTTAGTGCTTTCCTTATTGAAATTCTCTAATTGACACTAATGTCATAGCCCTGTAAAAATGCCAATGCCAACATGACATGTAACAAAAGTGGAATCCTTTTGTATCTATATGTTTTTTACCCTTTGTAGTCAAGGATTTATCCAGTATTACTAGCCATCCCCATGTATTAAGAAAAGTAATTTGTACCCATGACTAAGAAATCCCCAAATAATACTAACATGTGTTGAGTGCTGTAGTAGAGAACGAGCAATAAAACAAGCAGCAGTGGTCCTGAACATGTAGGAGTTAGTGGGAAGGTTGAAAATGGAGACTGAAGTGAGGGATGACAAATGACTAGTCCAACTTTAAGCTGAGGAGATAATGAGACATAGGATTACCAAAATATGTGCATCTTTTTAAAGAATGTGAGCAGTGTTTGGTAAGTCTAAAGGGTATTTTGAAGACTAAAGTGAAAACGAAAAAAGGTCAGACTGAGACTGTGAGACATAGGTCAGAGATGGAAACCTCCAGAGTAGGAAAATAGAATAAAGGGCCGGAGCAAGATTCCCAGACCTTTAAGAGGATCAGTCAGACAGGAAATCCTTAGGAGAAATTGATGGCTCAGAAGCCTGTGGAGGAAAGAAATGTCAAAGTTTGACAAAATGCCAGGAAGAGATGAAATTAGGGGAATATTAACGGATGTCTTTGGGATCTGAACAATTGACCCCACCTGTGCTGGGAGTTACCCCCACATACAGGTGGCCGAAGAGTCATGGGAGAGAGTGAAGCCCAGGAACGCAGACTCACTTGCAAGAAGGACCACTTACGTCTATCAGGAGTAACACCTGTGAACAGCAGTCAGCACGACGCTTCTGGAGAGACTGGCCAGAAGTGTCCCCGTCTGAGTAAGGAACTAGCAAGGTGATCAGTCTGAGGACTTCATCTGGAGATCCACGGGTTGGCCTCATACTGTGGTCTCCTCCTAAGAGTCTTAAAATTTGTACCAATTTCGCAAGGTCTCCAATTCTTCAAGCACATGAGTTCTCTGACCATAGTTCTCATATTTTTCCATTGTAGAAATGGCATAATAAAATACTTAATCATGATTTCTTAAGGGACCATTGCTTTTGAGTTTGTGGGGTTGTTGTTGTTGTTGTTTAAGTAAGGGGTGGCCAGGGTACTGACTAATTAATACCGACATTATTTGAGATCCATCCTACAATGAGGGGCCCTATGGTTTGAAATAGGATTGACTTCTTTTCACTGCCTGTAAAATCCTTGAACATATTTTTTTCTGCTACTGTTTTTCAGAATCATTTGCTGTTTCAAATAGAGAACTGTGCGATGATGAGAAAGAGTTCATACATTTTCCAGTATGTGAGGGGACCTCTCAACCTGAACCCTCGTGTTCAGCTGTCAGAATAACAGCCAATAAAAACTACAGGAGCAAAGCCTCTCAGGAAGGTGCTTTAAAAAAGATGCATGAGGAAGAACACCATCAACAAATGTCCATCTTACAACTGCAGCTGATACAAATGAATGAGGTGCATGTGGCCAAAATCCAACAGATAGAGCGGGAGTGTGAGATGGCAGAGGAGGAGCACAGGATAAAAATGGAAGTTCTCAATAAAAAGAAGATGTATTGGGAAAGAAAGCTACAAACTTTTACCAAGGAATGGCCTGTTTCTTCATTTAACCGGCCCTTTCCCAATTCACCCTAAGACTTTTGGGAGTGACTCCCTTGTAATTAATCTGTGTTGGAAATGAAAGTCTGGAAGATGAACTTCCGGTCAGTAACTTGTAACGGAGCTACAACTAGGAAAATTTAGAGTGGTAGTAGTCACTTATTTAAGAATACATTCAGGTAGAACAGCCGCACCCTATGTACCCCTCAAAGGGTAAAGAAGCTGTTAGAGTCTTCTGAAAATTATCACTACGAGTGCTATAATTCTGAATGTAATGTTAAAATTCATGTAAGAACCATGTGCGAGTGTGTTGTAGGGTTTTTGGTTGTTGTTTTGTTTTTTTTTTAAATCAAATGCAAGTGTGACTATAAAGGAGTGTGGCTGATTTTGTTTTTTCTTTCTAAGTAGTCATTTTCTATCCGAATTAATGCCCTCCCATTGAAAATGGCTGTCCTGGTGGCCACATGTCTCTGTAGGGGAGGAGCCATTGATTACTCTCAAAACTTGCTGGAGGCCTTTGGGGAATCTCCGAGAGAGCTGTGACCCCTTGTTACGTCACTTCTTCAGGGCCATCCTCTAGAGTGTGGATTTTCTGGAAAGATATTTTCTAAAGTAGCTTATAAAACTGCCTTTTTAAGGCCTTTTCCCCCAAAGAGAAATTCCAAGTAAGGTCTCCAACCATGGTAGTTTCGTTGGAACTAAGACTGTAATAACTTTGAGGGTTTAATGTTCATTTAGATTTCTACCTTCTGTTACATTTGTTTTATTAAAGAAAAGTCTTGTAATTTTATAGTCACACTGTGTATGTGTTTTTTAAAAGGTGCCACTTTCCCAACTGAGCTCCTGATTTTGCCGACCCTCAGTCCTTCTGCCTAATTCTTACTAGTGAGTTGGTGATTGTCCTGGTTTTTCTTCTATAGCCTCATTAAGAAAGGCCCTTCCCTTATTGAGCTCATGGCGCTACCTAAGGGTGATGCATGTCACTGCCATTATACTGGATCAGCACTGGGATCTTTAAGGATCCATTAGCAATATAGTTAGAAATAGAGATTGAGCTGTACTTCAGTGTCTCCTGTATCTGGGTGCCAGTGGCTCATGCCTGTAGTCCTAGCTGATCAGAAGGCTGAGATCCGAAGCCAGACAGGACAGGAAAGTCTGAGATGTTTATCTCCAGTTAACTGCCAGAAAACCAGAAGTGGAGCTGTGGCTCAAAGTAGTAAAGTACTAACCTTGAGCAAAAGAGCTCAGGGACATTGCATGGGCCCTGAGTTCAAGCCCCACAACCAACCAAAAAAAAAGAACCAAAAAAAAAAAAAACCCAAGCAATCGTGGGACTTGACAGCAATAGCTGGGAGTAGCCAAGTGACACTTATGTGCCAAGGCAGATCAGCAGTTTCTGAGATTGAGATTTCAAGGTTATGTGAGAGGGAAAAGGGAGTCAATCCAGGTAGAAGAGCCTGAGTTAGGGAAGACAGGTAAAAAGAGGAGGCAGTGTCTGAGTTCTAAGCTGGCTCTGCCCCCAGTCACTATGTGAGCTTGGATAACTCCTCAAATCCTTGACTTGGTAGAGGTTATGACACCTTGGGTGGGTATTGCCAATACTGATGGCCCGAAAGCCACCAGCAAACGGGGAACCATGATCACCCAAAGTCACTAAGCTTCCTTCCTTCATAATTTTGAAATTTGGGTCCTGGGAATTAGAAGTTCTGTAAGGTACACACAGACTCACAGCTTGCACACAGTGTAAAACTGAAATGGATGTCAATTTATTTTGCATACTACCTCATATTTAAAAGATCTTAGAAGAACTGGGTAATGATTTTGGACACATCCTGTAATGAGATACTAGAAGTTAAAGATATAAGCGTTTCTGTTGTTAATTTAGTTGTAATTAAATGCACCCTCTAGAGAATGAAACATCTGTTACTTCTTGACCTTTTGGTTAAGAGTAAATGTAGAGAATGATACCTACTGAAGTTTCAAGCTTAAATGGTTTGTGGAAGACAGGACTTGAAACACTGATGTGAACAGAGAAAAGGCTGCCTTTGCTTCCCCTCAAATCCATGTAGAAATCTTACCCTGTACACATTCTGAAGTAAGACCTGAGATTCTGCTCTCAGGTTAGACTAGAATCGCTTGAGTGGTCAACAAAGCTCTGAGTAGGGTATAGAAGACCCTATATGGGTTTTTTTGTTTTTTGGTTATAGGACTTGAACTCTGGGCCTAGGCACTGTCCTTCAGCTCTTCGGCTCAAGTCTAGCACTCTACCACTTGAGCCACAGCGCCACTTCTATTTTTCTGATGGTTTATTAGAGATTAGAGTCTCACGGACTTTGCTGCCTGGGCTGGCTTTGAACCTCAATCCTCAGATCTCAGCCTCCTGAGTAGCTAGAATTATAGGCATGAGCCACCAGTGCCCGGCCCCTATATGTTTTTTATTTATCAGTCTCAAAAAAAAATCAGAGTTTAAGATGATGAAGTGTCTATGTACAGCACTAAGCTTGTTATTTTCTTCTAGGAACTTAAGCACACAAACAGTAATGGAGAACAAAAAATGTTCACACATAATAGCACATTTTAATTGCACTATAAAAGCATTGAACTAATTTCTAACAGAACAAATAAAAATAATTAAGCCAGCAGCCTAAAGCATCTTGCTCTACTCTTAATGATATTTATGAGTTTATAACGGTAGTCTGCAACATTAGCTATGCACTAGAGAGACAGTATTTTATAAATAATTAGTCCTTCTAGATCTCACCTGGGTAAGATTCTTGGTCAGCTGACCTGTTTGGGCCTAATACTCTATTTTTTGTACTCTGTATTTTATAGATGATTATGACACATAATTGGGATTGAAAACCACTTTATATAGAGGTCACAAATCTCTCATTTCTCAATCCTTTTATAAGGATTTCTGTTCCTCATTTACTTTTATCAAGTACACCCCTTAGAGAATGAAACAACTATTGCTTCTTGTCCTTTTGGCTGAGATTAAGTATGAAGTCTTACTGTGAAATCCTTCAGCAGTAAGAAAAAGTGCTCAGAAAAGAATCATCATGACACATGGAACTAGTACATGGCGAGGCAGACCTCAGACTGGAGACTTGGCTCCAAAACAGCCCCACCTGTATACCCTCGTTTTTTCCTTGAAACTGTATCATGGATTTTGTCTGTGGGTGCAGGTGTGTGTGTGTGCAAGCTTGCTAGTACTGGATCTTGAATGCATGGCCTTACCCTGTTGCTTGGCTTTTTAGTTCAAGGCTGGTATGCTACCACTTGAGCTACATCTCTACTTCTGGCTTTATGGTGGTTAATTGGATGTATGAATCACATGGGCTTTTCTGCCTGTGCTGGCTTTGAACCATGATCCTCAGATCTTAGGCTCCTGAGTAACTAATACAGATGTGAGCCACCAGCACTTGGACATGGATTTGTTTGCTCCTGAGAGTCCAATAACATTACAAGCTACTTTGTTGAAGCATCCTCATTCATGAACAGGTATAGTACATCCCAATTCATTTCATTATTGAACTTCTCGTTACCTGCGATGCAAATGCAATAACCATTTTTAGGCAGGTCTTGGAGTAGAGAGATAAAAATATTAAGATAAAGTTCACTATTCTCTATGCCAGGTCATGGACACAGCCCAAGAAGGGAGGTAAAGCTTGAACGTAGGTCTTGTGGACTGATCGGTGCGTGTCTTCCTGTGTACTTGTAGCTGAGATCAAAGCTAAGATTACACTTGAAACAAGGCTCATGGAGAGGCTGGTATTTGCAGTCAATAATTAGAACTGGTACTTTAGTAGGTGGAGATTGAGAAAGCAGATGGAGGCAATGTAGGAAAGTGTGGGGGGAATTTTCCAAATGGAGCAGTATTGTGCACCCAGAGGGAGATGAAACTGAGTGGACAGAAGACTCAAGTCAGGGATTCAGATAATAGTTTGGGCCTAGTTAGGCTGAAATGATAGGAGGCCCTAGAAGAAGCTGAAGTAAAAATGAGAGCCATGTGAAAGATACTGCTGAAGTGCAACTGGTAAGATTTAGCAGTCGATGGCTTTTGTTTGAGAGGTTTTAAAGCTAGATCTCTGAAAGATGACACTGCTGACAGGAAGGAAGGAAGGAAGGATGGATGTATTCCTGGCTCTGAACCATCCTAGGAGAGGCCAAGGCACAAACTCATGCTATTGCCCCCCCTCTTAGCTCTGATTGCCAGCACCTCCACTTAACCCTTCTTTCCTACCCTGATGCCTCTTCATCTGCCTGTGCTGTGTTTTCTGTTTATCTGATGCTAATCCCTCCCTGTTGGGTTGTTGATCATCCCATTCATTTGCCATCAATATCTACGATTGTACCTGGAGGCCCATCAATCACCATCTCTTAGTTTGTCTTCATTTGCCATCTCTTAGAATAACTCGAAGAAAGCAAAATTCCTGTGGGCTCCATTCTTTTCTAGAAAGGTGGTATCCACACATTTCACAGGGATTTTTGAATTTTGCTTTTGGTTTTTAAGTGCCTGATTGTGTCTAAAGGAGCATTGCCTGGAAAGAGCCAGTAATCACATTAGAGGCTTATCATGGCCCTTTTACAAAAATCAAACAAGAGTGTGTGGCCCTACCCAATGTGTCAAGGATTTAGGAAATTTTTAGGACTTTTTTTTTTCAGGGATAATCTTAAAATGCTTTCAGCTTGTTTTATTATAGAATTAACTGGAAGCGCAGAAGAAGAGAGGCAGTACATGAGAGAATATATTCAGGGTTGTCAACAGTCTCGGCAGTGTCAGGTCAATTACATCAGCACTTGGTCTGGACCAGAGGAAAGGAATGATTCTGCCTCCTGGGAATGTCAGAGGGACCTAATAATTATGAGGAGTGGTTCTGTAATGTCATTGCCAACAATTACCCCTTTCTGAATGTCTGAGCTTTCCAGATGCATGACACTTCATTTCTGCCATGACTTTCCTTTCTTGTTGAGCTGCTTCCTGACCTGTCCTCTTGTTTTTCCTCATTTTGGTATCCGTTTGTGTTTCCTCTTCTCTCTCCTTCTTCCTTTCCAGTCCTGTTTTTTAAGCCCTACCTGCACTCACAATGGCTTCCACTTTGTTTAGAGGTCTGTGACAGTGTGTCTGAGGGGAATTCTTGGCAAGATACAGCATAGTCAGCCTCTGGTACCAATAAGGTAACATTCACACTCTGCCTTAGACTAGATAAACTGTGGATGATTTTATTCTCCTGTTCTGTCTGCTTTTGTTAGTGGGATCAAAAGTTGTGGGAAAGGCCATCAGTGATCCATGAATGCAGCAAATTCTTTTCTCAATCATGCTGTAGATGATGATGATGTCTTCAACATGATTTATTAATTTCTGCCTCAGTTTCTCCATCTGTGAAAGTGGTATAATACGTATCTACCTCCCTTGAGTGTTGGCAAGCTTTTTTTTTTGTAAGTCCTGGGGTTTGAACTCAGGGCCTAGGTGCTGTCCCTGAGCCTCTTTGTCCTCAAGGCTAGCGCTCTGCCACTTGAGCTACAACACTACTTTCGACTTTTTCTGAGTAGTTTACTGGAGATAAGTCTCATGGGCTTTCCTACCTGGGCTGGCTTCAAACTTCAGTCCTTAGATCTGAGCCTCCAGAGTAGCTAGAATTGCAGGTGTGAGCCACTGGTGCCTGGCTTACAGGCCAATTTTGAAATAAAGGATGATAAGCCAAGAGCTGGTGGCTCATACCTGTAATCCTAGTTATTCAGGAAGTTGAGATCTGAGGATTCAAGTTTGAAGCTAGCCTGGGCAGGAAA